CGCCGCCGCCAGGTATATCGCCCAGCGGAGCACCGCCCCGACCAGGACAAGCTCTGGCCTCTCGACATGTGTGGTAGCGTAGCGCCTGTAAGGGTGTCTCTAAACACGAGAGAGGATGGGACAATGGAAAATTTGGATCGCGCACGGCAATTGTCCCGTTTGTTAGGGCACTGCTGCGACATTCGGCCGGTACTGATGAGAGTACCCTCGGAAAACCATTAATCGAAGCAAACGGCCGCTAGAATTCTCCTCCAGAGGCAAACTTCGACCCAGTGTCGGACATCCGCCATCGTCAGAACTCGAACCCCAGGACCTCCCGGTAAGAGCCGCTGCAAAATACATGCACTGTATTTGACCATAGGTATTGACGCGCCAGGAAACTAAAAACGATCTATATAAATGTGTAGAATAAGAATAATTAGATAAAAAAGTATTTGCAAAGTAAGCGAATGAATTGTTTGCTGCATGTCGTTGCATAAGACTGACGGAAAGTAGTGAAACTGTGTAAAGATACAATTGCATTAGACACTATATGCGGGAAAAGGTCTAGTTTTTCGAAAGTTGCTAATCTCACGCTTTTTTAAATGTTATTTTTATTTATTTATCTTTAACTTTTACTTATCTTTAAACTGTTTATAGTTAAAACGACGGGAAAGGATTCTGGAACTCAAGAAAACTAATCTAAACTAAATAAATCTAATCTAAATCTACGCAAGGTGATACGAGACATATTTTACGTGAGATCCCGCACCGACCTGTACGGCTTTGTAAATACAAAAGCCGCTGCTGGCCCGACTTTCATCAACTCTCCTCCTTCCTTTCTCGCTGTATCTCTCTCCCTCTAAGCTTTCTCTCTCTCTTCACACGCACCTCAACCCAACACTATTGCATTCGAGTCTCCTCCCCTTCCAAACATTCCTCAAATATCCTTCTTCCTCTGACGTTCCACATTCTCCTTACTCTCCCCTTGTTTTGCAATCCCTGTCTTTCTTCTCTCGTTCACCTCACCCTTGTACCTACTCTCCTCAAATCACTAACTAGGCAATATCGGAAGGCAATTTGTGGTCACGACGTCATTTTCAAACACTGCCATGCAATGGCAGCATATAGTGTCTAATGCAATTGTATCTTTACACAGTTTCACTACTTTCCGTCAGTCTTATGCTACGACATGCAGCAAACAATTCATTCGCCTACTTTGCAAATACTTTTTTATCTAATTATTCTTATTCTACACATTTATATAGATCGTTTTTAGTTTCCTGGCGCGTCAATACCTATGGTCAAATACAGTGCATGTATTTATGATGGAAGGTGGCGGAGTTCTTACTTCCCTGGACGGTGAGATCCTACGCCGACTTATACATTGGCTTGCGCTGTTTCCAATTCCAGATGTCTCCCACCGGCAGGGCACTGCCCCACTCGGGACAAGCTCTAAGCTTCCGACATGTGTTGTAGTGAAGTGCGTGTAAATGTAAGTGCAAATAAGTAAGGGATGAGGATAGACCAAGGAAAAGGAAGGAAATATCCCGTGTGGATCGTGGCACGTTTGTTAGGACACTGCACCGGCATTCGCCTGGTGTTGATAATGAGATACTTTACAAGTCGTGCATTGAAAAGAAGAGCAATTTGACTTCACAACTTATTCACTGCGTCTAAAATATAGATGTGTCACGCATGTGTTAGGTCACCGAGATTTAAGGAAAAATGTTCATTCATCTTTCAGAGATTTTATATCGAGCACAGATATGTGATTACGATTTAACACATTTTACACAATTCCATTAACTAGACCGCACAAGGTTTTGGCACGGTTTATAATATTATTTTAATTGCCATGAGATTTGTCACCAACCGTCACGGAAGCATATCTAATAATTTTCAAAGCGGAAAGCGGACGGGGAAAATCGGCACGCAGCTGTGGCTAACCGACGCCTTCGTTCATGATTCTACGTACCACTCGATGAGTAACCATGAAATTCGTTTTTTTTAATTACTTGCTTTCACAATTAGACGACAAATATGACTGTATAGATAATGTTCATGCGAGACGAAGCCACAATAGCCTTGAAACCAATCTTGTACGCAGTCTTAAATCCGCATTCCGCGTTTTAATCAGGAACGCTCATTGTTTTTCGACGGCCACTTCTAGAAGGTAGAGCGAGTTCTCATTAATACGCTGTCGTCCCAAAGGAATTGTATTAGTAATAATATTCTTTTAATGTACCTGCGGTATTTTGGCTTTGTCAACAGCCCTACGCACGACTTTTCGGGCTAGAAGAAAAGATGAATCCTTGTATTCCGAAGAGTGTGCTAATAAGTTTCGTGAGGAAAAAAAAACAAAAAAACACAGCGCCTGGTTTGAGAGTGGATTGTATACGCTACCTTATTCGACCGGCTCGCACACAAGCACGTCTGCTAATGACGCAATACACTCAACTGACTAGGGCTACAGAACTGGTACAAGACACCGGTTTGTGGCAGCTCAATGGTTTCAAGTCAGGTTTGGGGAATGTAAGAAGAAACATTTCAGAGGATCAAACACCTACGACAAACACTAGGAATTCTTATTAAACACTATTGCAGTCAATTAGAGCGTCGGTACCCAACCATCTCAGCCAAACCCATTTATAAACACCGTTTCTGGTCACTGCTGCCTAGCTCTTACAGATACCCGACGTACATCCCACGGTCCTCTATATAATTTAAACGAACTTCAAACCTTATTCGACAATCCGACCTCTACATTATATTACAGACTCCACGTGGCGACATGCTGTACAGTAATCAAAATTCTGATTCTTCAGTCGAATGACTGCCCCTGCCACTTACAATATCATGTCGTCGACCTCATTAGCAACGCGAGTGAGAATGGAATTTAGCACAAGACGCAATGCGGTTTGCGGCTGGGACTCAAATAATATTAAAGTAAATCTAACGTATATGTCCAGAGACGGTTGATCCATAGAAACCAATGATGAAGCAGTATAGACTTTTTTTACATTTTTTGTTTCATTGCAAAATTAGGTTTAAATATTAACAATGTGATGAATTTAACTGAACGATTCAGTTTTTTCTTCTTCTTTTTTTTCCTTTTTTTTCTTTCTTTTTCTTTTTAGGAAATGTAACATAGTAATTCACAGCGTTTCATCGACGGTCTCCAAAAACATATTTCTTCTTCCAAAATATTCTAGGAATTTTCGGTAAAAATAGTACAAATCGATTTGTTTTGTCGAGAGTAATGGGGTTTTGATTACCTCTATAGGTCCCATACCCTACCCCACTCAATGAGTTTTGAATGCTTAAAACCCCTCGACTAGAGGGGGGAAAGACTTTTCTTAGAATGTTCTGGAAGGATACAAAAATAGCCAGTTCAACAGCAGTATACCAAGAAGCGTCAAAAGACACCTTAATTGTCCCGAAATACAGGAACACACACATACAGCAGTTAGCCCGATTACTATATGTAGAATAATTCTAGAACTTTAATAATTAAACTTTGGAAGTCTAGGTTTCGGTGCAATCGATTTTTTTTTATTTAATTAAATAGAAAAAAATTAAATTTTAGTATTGTCAACATGATACAAATGGAATTTTAATTTTCACTTGTTTGTTCACTACAATCCCGAAGGTGTACGGAAACCTTTTGCCACAAGCACTCAGAAGTCGACTGTTGAGAAGTGTGAATAGAGTTAGTGTTTAACATGGATTTAATCGATTGTCATCGTGCGAATCAACGGCACATGTGGCGGCGCTGTGGGCACGAGTGAGAGGGACTACATGCGCTACAGGAGATGCATCGCAATCTTCCTACAGCAGAAATTGCGCACAAGATTCAAGCGTTGCGCAGTTATCAATTGGGCTTTGTAATGAGTTGTTCTGTACAGTTTATTAAATAAGCCATTACAAGAATTACACTTTTTACATTATTTTACATGAAGATAGGGCGAACACCATAACAAATACTATGTTTCTAGTTAATCAGCCCAAATAGATCGACCTGCATTTAAGAAACGCTGATACGAGATCCTATGACATGGAGGAGGGCAATCTGACACGAGACAAATACACAGTAAAGTGTATGACGTATAAAATAAGTGTGTGTTTATTTCTTATTTATTTACGTCAAAAAAGTTAAGAACTGTGGGTGACGTGCTATGGAGAGAAGTTAATTTGAAATTACATTTATGTAAAATAGCAAAACAAGAAGTAATGTCAGAATATTATGCCATATCTGAGGCGGGAATGACCATTCGCGAAACATTCACAACGAGCAGTGTGTGATTAAGATTCGAGGCCTTACAAGGCTATGTCGATTAACCTGGTGTATCGTGAATAAAATTCAACACGTGTTGAACAACTCCTGGAGTCGATCGCACACAGTCTTGCAGCGGCGCGCTGTTATAGCGCTCGCGCGAAACGCCGAGCCCCGGTGTACAGACACTCGTCAAACAAAATACCCTGAGGCGGCCCGTAGGCCGCCTACAGACAAATCGCGCGGCACATCTACGAGCCTGCATTAGCGCCACTGCCGCGCAGCCGGAGGGGCGCAGCGACGACTTGTGTGCAGAGCGATCGGACACGCGAAAGAAATCGCGCGCCTCCGCGCGGCGCCTTTCCAAAGCCGCCTCGCAATACTCACCGACACTGCGCGCCGCGGCCGCAGGGAGCGCCAGGCTCCAGAGCAGCAGGGCCACCCGCAGCCACCGCCGCATCCACAGCCACAGCCACCGCCGCAGCCGGCCGTCCATGTCGCCGCGTCGCGCGCCGCCGCCGCCGCCGCCGCCGCTGCCGCCGCAGCCGCCGCCGCCGCAGCCGCCTGCAACACGCGACCACCACGACGTGAGCGACGGCCCTTCGCCCCGCCCCCTCCGCTCCGCCCAGCCCAGCCCCGCCAGCCGCGCACGCGCAACCGACGTCCCAGTCCACGCACGCACGCACGCGCACACACACACACACACACACACACACACAGACACACTCATACACTGCACTGCGCCCGCAGCAAGCTGAAAAACTGGAGAGGGCAATCAGAGAATCATAGGCCGCACTCGTCTCGGCCAATTAGGACATCTCATTTTGAGTTTGCTGGGCAAGTGGAAACCAGCGACAGCCATGGCCATGGCTTCGTTAGATACCAAAAACACGGCAAAATACACAAAAAAAAAACATCAATCCCCATTTGTTCACCAGTATTTTATATGATAATTCACATTCCTATATCAGCAACATCCATATTTCGTAAGCGAGTACATATTACTTGATATACATTCAGAGAAATCTAAATACTCAGCAAGTTGAAAAAGTGCAAGGGTGCCTACATACTCATCAGAAAATGATGGATCCTCAAAACTCGCAATTAATTAATCGCACGTGGATTTGATTACCAACGAGAGTCTAATCAATGACCATCTGATCAAAATCCGCTGTTTTCCATATTCTCCGAAAGGTGTACGGGGAGGATCGTCTGGCAAGGTACTACGCAAAGCCAGTTACGAAACTAGAATTTTCTCTCATTCAACAAGCGAACTCTGCAAAGAGCAACTATAGAATTGCAGATTCGGTGGTGTATTAGAGTATCGGACTGTTTCACTCAAGTGCGCGGATTCAAATGAGATCGATACCGTTGATTTTAAAGGGCGAAAAAATTGGTAGGCTTTCTTGGAAAGGAAAGTGTAGTCGGCTGTCTGATGTACATTTACTACATAAAAAAGGTTCTGAAAACTGAACGAAATTCTAATCGCCTGAGTAATACCTACTTTTCGCAGCTAAATAGCGAAAAGAACGGAGCGAAATATGCGTCAACAGGTGGATGAGTGGGCCTCATGGCCAAAGCCTCGACACTTAAAAAAACACATCATTGAATTGGATTGGTAAAATACATAAGTTTCTCGTGAGAAAGTGATACCACATACGAAAACTGGCTAAACAGGGATTTTATTCCATGGAGTCGAAAAAATCCTTCAACTTGCCAAAAACTATAACAGAATCGCAAACGCAGCCTGAGAATAATGAACTATAATACAAAAACAACGAACAGACATCACATTTAGCAGATGATTCAGCCTTTTCCTTTATAACTATATTAAATAAGAAAACTTTAAAGTAAGGTATTTTTATATGGTTTCAATTCTTCGATGTACGAAACATTGTTCATTTCACTTCATATTCCGGATGGATTACCACTTCTTTCCGACTACTGCCATAGGTAGTTCAATATTTTCCGCTCCGTCCCCATCCCCAACTGACTTTCTGCTCTCATCTCGTGGGTTTCTCGCTTCCGCCGCCGCGCCACCGCCGCATGCGCCGTTCGCGACGAGAGCGTTCGAGTCTTCCTCTCAACTTCGGATTAGACGCGCGCGCGCGCCTCATTTCGCGGCACCTGAGCGGCTGCCCAGAGCGGCATGGGGTGGGATGAGGCGAGGCAAGGCGCTTCCGCTGCTGCCAGCGAGACGCGCTTTCGGCGTCGCGAGCCCAATTAATAGGCGCGAGTTACTTGAGAACTTCAAAAGGAGAAGCATGTGTTTAGTTACCAACTCCGCACCATTGCACGGAGAACTAATTTGCGTCTCCCCCAAAATATTACCCATGTTGGGCAGTAAACGAGTCCCTCTTTTCACATTACAAAATGATTTCTTTTAATAAATATTTCACTTATATATTTAGTTAAAACTTTTTTTTTTGTTTTGCACCTCAAAATCAATATATAAATTCTCGAATCCCACTGAAGGTTAATTTGTGCACGTAAGGCGAGAATCAAAGACACTAACCACGTGATTAAAAACGTCCGTGAAAACACGTTAACCATATACCAATGCACATTAAAAGAAGATGGCGAGAAACGAACATTAAAACCTACCTATGCGAATATTGCGGACAGCTTGCCTCTTACACTTACTACACGATAGGTCTATTGTCTTTGCCAACATTACGGGTGCAAGAAGTGTTAAATGTGGTTGTTATTGACAATATCCACACTGATGAAAGAGAAGCACGTGCTACTTGTGCAATACTACTTCCCGAGCGTTTCCACCTGCGGGCTTCTCACGCTTTCCCGCACTCGGTGCCAATAACTGAAAATAGCGCGGCCTTCATTGCGGAAACGGCCAATGCGTCGGTGCTGCAGCTCCTCCTCGGCAGCCAACAAAGCCCCCCCCCTCCTCCACAGCGGCGGCGGCGGCGGCGGCGGCGCGAGGAGCCGCCGGCGGCCACGCAAAGCGACCACCACGACGCAGCCAACTATTAAGTGAATTCCACAAAAAGTCGTCGGCTCGCTTCAAAAGGCCCCGCGGCGCGCCACCCCTTTGTGGGGGGCATCTCCACTGACCGAATGCGTCGGCCGATGCGCTCGCAGCCCCCCCCCCCACACACACACACCCTCCCCCCGAAAAAACAACAACATGCGTTCGAATGCCAACATGAGTGTTCGCGCGGGGTCACGCAACGCCACCCAGGAGCCGCGCCACGCCGCGCCACGCCACCCCCAAGTCCGTGATGGGTGACAGCCCCCTAGCACGCTCTTCACAGCTCGCTCGCAAACAAGTGAAGTCCTTGGCGATTCAAGGTCTATCCTTCGCCTGAATAAAAATTCGTGCTCCCAGTTAGAATTGAACCGACGATTCGCAACTACTCGATTCCTTTGGGACCTGGCTTGGTTTGCACCCTCTGTTCAAACACGCGCCTATTTCTGAAGAAAAAAATCTAAACAGCAGTAAAGTAAAGGGACAGCTCAAATGGGCCGTTTGTGTACCTCTGTTGTAGACGGAAAAACGGCCTGATAAAGTATCTGCCTGTTGAACGGCTGATAATATAAATTACCTTGCCCAAAACAATATCAAGCGAGAGGAAAATAGACACCCATTTTTTTAGCTTTGCATTCACACCTGAATCCCGAAACTTAAGAAACATACAACACCAAGTGAGAACTTCGCAACTAATTCAGCCAAGAATAGAAGTGAGATTCAATGAAACAGCCCGATTCAATAAAACAAATCACACATTCAATAAATTTCTGAATACAAGTGACCACCACGTAATGCTGAAGTTCCGTAACCCCAAATTTCTTCCGACTCATGTTCAAATTCACCAACCTAGCGAACATTATCGATATCTAGGGGAGCTCTCTGGCGAGTGTAGGCGCCAACATTCAACGCGGTCTTGCAACTCTTGCACAGCGGCCCTCGTCTTTGGCATCGCAGCGCTAGCACTGCAACGACACCGACTGTGCAACCGCACGTCAACTCCAAGATATACTCTCAAGCATTCCAAACACCGTGGACCTCACGATCTCCGAGTACTGGGAGATGTATACGGCGTTATAACGCCATACCTACTGAATGTATCTCGTTATTGAAATTTCTTCTCGAATGACGTGATTTCTTGGAAGGAAGACCGTTTCTGAGACTGGATGCGCAATTTCGAGTTTCCTATCCGCCGGATACGTACTGTACGAAACCCGCCAACTCTTCAAGAAGAAGCAGTGAAGGGGTGCAGCAGAAGGGCTTGTGGGAGCTGGAACGGTCGAAGCAATAGACGACAAGGAATCGGAACGGGAAGTAGCCTTTACTCGCACTATTTTAAACATGAGACATAAAGGCGAGTTGAAAGGTTGAAGTTAACTGTATCCGACAGCACATAATGAATACATAGTACCCACAAATGAAAATAACGTATAATAATAATAATAATAATAATAATAATTATTATTATTATTATTATTGTTGTTGTTGTTGTTGTAAGAACCGACGTTGTATACTTTCTACAGCTGAACCAACTGTTTTATGCAGTAGTTACGGCACTGTTCAACCCCTTTCCCTCCAGCAGCGTAAATAATAGTGTGTAGCCGACGTGTCCGTCGACTCACCAACGCAATTCCATCCGTGGGCAAAATGGCGTTCTGAACGAGCCGATTCGCGGCGCGAGGCCTTACCTCGAGACGATGTTTGGCGAGTGCGCGGGCGGGCCGCGCGGTCGAGGCGGGCGCCGGAGTGCAGAGCCAGGCGGGCGAGGACTGCGGCCGGAGGGCGGCGGCGCCAAGGGCCGGAAGGAAGCGAAAGGCAGCGCACCCCCCACCACCCAGCGGCCCTCCCCGTCGCCCCGCGCACGCACCCCACGCGGCCCGCGGCTCTTTAGCAACGCTTACGAAACCTCTACGGGGCTCCTGATTTGCGTAGCAGAATGAGTAAATACTGAATTCTGGTTAAGACCTGTGTTATACACGCGTGCATGCATACATACACATACACACACACTCACACACACAAATGCAGATTTCAAACAGAGAAAGGTCATCAAAAATAATATGAAGAGACCATGAGGGCGGGTGCTTTCCTCCCCCACACACAAATGGGGGTTGCCATTCCAACCAATGACGGAACTTCAAATCCCATAATTCAGAACACTAACATTTAATAAAACGTAAGCGACACATAAATTCATTAAAAGTAGTTTCATGAAACGAACTTACATTCATAAATGTATTTATGTCCTGAAGTCGGTTACGTGCCTTTGGCGGCACAAGAGACAGAGAGTTAGGGGGCAAGCCTGTTCCCAGAATGGCATATTTCCTCACAGAACATAAATAAGCGACATGCACAAGCTCTTGGGCGGAAAATGATTCACCGAACCCTTTCTAGTCTACGCTTTTCTCGACCACGTCCCCCACTCGCGCTGCACAGACAATTGCATAGTGAACGGTGTCCTCGCAGCCAGGACGACGGGCGGCCCCCACCCTCCCCGTGGACAAGGCCCGGACTGGCCGCGCTTCTGAAATAGCTCTTCCTCTCCATCAAAACGGTCTATTTCCGAGCTGCGCGGGCGGCGGGTTGGGGCGGGGGGCACGGGGAGGCGGCGGGGGACACCGGGGACGGAGAGAGCGCGGCGACCCGCTCGCCTTTGGGGCGCCGAGCACCGTCGCCGTACACAACGCAGAAGCCCTGGCGGGCGCGGCTGAGGGCGGCTCCGGTCCCGGGGCCGCGTTTCGAGCCGCTCACCCTCTTCCCCGCCCGCTTCACCCGCTTCCCCGCCCGCGCTCTTCGCCGAGAATCACTACTGTGCGAGGAGCGTCTCCGATGAAGGCGGCTCGACACATTCGGTGAATCCAAAGCAACCGTTACCATTGCCGAATCCCGAGGAGAGTGGACGGGTTGTTTGCCATTCGCGCCGAACATTCGGTATTCGCCCTACCTACCGCGTCAGTTTTAGGACACATCAAAGGGGGCGAACATTCGCAGAACGTATCAGATGTTCGGCATCGGGCAGGCAGTATCTCGTTGCTCGGCAAATGCAGAATGTGTGGAACCGCATTAATACGAACAATACTGTCGTACTCCAAAAATGTATCTCCGTATGCAATTCTGCATAGACCTCCTACATCAGGAAACCTACAACAGGAAACCTCCTACATCAGGAAATGTTTAGGAGCAGAACAGGGCAGTTTCCCTGCATACGTAGGCATAAAGGTGCTGATTCAATGCTTTCCTAGAGCTAATTTGTTCGGGTCTGTCGGTAAGTGAAAACAATCCTATGCACACCCAGCCTGCGTCATTGCCTCGCGACGGGCAAAGGCCTAGCTTTGCCGCCAATGACGAGGCGCGAATGCCGAGAAGGTGAGTCTTCATCGCCGGGCGGCGGCAGGGAGCGGCGGCGGACGTGGCGCAAACAGATATTTCAGGGCCGCAAGCGGAAACGGCGCGAGGGAAAGGAGGAAGCCCGCAGCTCCGGGAAAGGAGTGCGGGGGAGGGGAAGGGAGGGGGGAAGGCGATGGCGACAACGTTCTCCGCAGGTGGGCCGACTCCTCCTCCTCGTCATCGTTAGGAGTGGGCGGATGTAACGGGGAGGGCCGGGTCAGGCGGCGTGGAAGGGTGGGACAGTGCGGCAGAAGCAGGTGCAAAGGGGGGAGGAAGGGTAGAAGAGGAGCGAGAGAGGGAGAGAGAGAGAGAGAGAAGAGAGAGAAGAGAGAAGAGGAGGAGAGAGGATGGACGGCGGGTAGAACCGTGAGGGCGAAAGTAAGAGGATCCGCAACAGGCGAGGCAGGGCGGACGAGAAGAAAGGAGGGAGCGGGTCAGGCGCTGTGAGCATCTGGGCGGTGCCTACGCAGCCGCGCCTCCCTACAGTACGCGGGTAATGAGAAGCCGATGTAGATTAACTTCGTAATTGTGGTAGTGAGAAGTTCGGGAGAAGAGTTAAGAAGGATATTACGGCGGATCGGAGGAAGAGCCTGGGCGTAGGGCGCTCGGGAGGGGAGGTGGGGGGGGGGGCGAAGGCGCCGGGGCGAGACGTACTGGCGGTCGAATCGCAGGGGGGAGGGGCCTGCATACAAGGCGGCCGCGGGGAGCCGGGCTTCATCTTCGCTGATAACAGGGTGATTTGAACAAACGTCGTTCCGCTGGGCTGAATCCACAAAACACATTTTCTCCGGCGGGAAATCTGTTCGCTTCGGAATAAAATAAAAACCACATGTCCTATACAGACAATCTGGGTATAAATTTACAAAAACCTTTCTAACGAGGTGAAAGAAACAGTTGACATGCCGGAATTATGCGAACGTTTCCCTCTTCGTCCACGAGAGAACGCGTTAAGTTAACGAGTAGGAGTGGTGTTCATGAAGTGTCACTTTCAACTTCAATTATACTTTATTTCAAAACTCCTGTCGAAAATTCAGTCTCGTTCAGTGTTGTTGTTTTGTTTTTCTTCTTGAAATGGAGACGTAGAATTTCGAGTAAATATTTTTTTTCAATCACTTGCGCAAAGGTTCCGCAGAAACCAAAGCCTTAACACAACTTCCTGCACTGCAATGTTAGCATTCACGCGAGTTCGCTTCTACAGCGTGGATAACCAATACACTAACACACTCTTCGTGTATCAACTGGAATGCACTCATTCCATGGGCTGCACAGTATACGTCCCATTTGAACTGCAGTGGAGTGAC